AACAGTGTAGCTATTGCTCCTCGCTTGCCGACGCCCCTCCGACTGCATCAACACCTAGATCCTACATCCACAAAGGAAAAATAACGGGGTGAGCACAAAATAATGCTCAGTAAGTAAAACCCTATATCTGTCTGTCCCCGTATGTATTACTCTTAATTCTTTCCTTATACTATTTCTGTTTCTACTAAAGCGAAGTCATGGCCTCATCTTACCAGAGGTACGACCGGATGGCGTTCACACAGTACCATCTCACTCTCCATGACTATCGGGTGGAATTCACACAGTACCAACCCGTTCTTAGTGACTACCGAGTGGGATCACGAAGCACCTACTCGTTTTTCGTAACTATCGGTGTGGAGACCACCTAGCACCTACCCGTTTCCTCATGCCTTTTGGGTAACGATCACCAGCATTAACCCGTCCTATCACTCACTGTCGGGTGATGATCACAAAGCATCAACCCACTTCTAATAATGTCGGATGATGATTCACAAGCATCAACCCCTTCTCTAAAACTACCTGGTGGTGGTCACAAAGCATCCACCCATTTCTAATACTTTATCGGTTGATGATCACAAAGCATCAACCCATTTCCAATGACTATTCGGGTGGTGATCACAAAGCATCACCCGATTCCCATAACTGTCAGGTGATGATCACAAGCACATCAACCCATCTCTACTACTCTTCTCATTCACTCTATTCTAGCATTTTTCATTCTCTCTACCCTTAGAGTAGTTGCATCCACCAAGTTCTCTACTCTAAGTAACTGTATCACAAAGTTTCCTACTCTTTCTTAGGTCACTTTTCAATGCCAATTAGTGCCTATGGATGGTTCATCTCCACTAATGCACTTATGAAATGCCAACATGCAATGTTGCAAGAATTAAGGTTCCACTACTCATACTCAAACCTCTATTAGGCATTTCAATCAAACACACTCAAGTGCATAATAAAACTCTACTATAGAATGATCTAATCTCTCTCTTAACCATCCACAAAATGGGGAGAAACCCCTCACATAGCCCTAACCTGCCAAAGAAAGACACTTCCAAAAGGGTTCCACAATACCCCTTCAATTCCATCTCAACTACCTTTCCACCCCTAACTCACTTCTTATATTTGAAAGGTATAAACAATCACAAAGCACTAGAAATCTCTATTTAGCTCAATAACATGGCTAAAACATGTATATAACACATACATAAGTGCTATCAAAACCCTAATCAAGAAAATTCCCAAATCTCAACTTGGGTTGGGGTTTACTTACCTTTGTATGGAGAGATTTCATACTAACTCTTCCTTTCACTTGTTTTGCTTGACTTTTCTCTCTACTCTTAACAAAAGAACAAAAACCCTCAATATCAATATATATAAAACTCACAAAGCTTCACAACCAAAGCAAGAATCCTTACCTTAGGATGCCTTAGGTTGATTTTCTACCCCAAATCACTCCAAAAGAGCCCTTTACAAACAAAAAAAAAAAAACCCTTGGAATCAAAAAAAAAAAAAAATTAAATTGAAGAGGAGCCAAGAGAGGATAGTGTCGGTTGGAGAAGACGAATGAAGGGTTGGCAATGTCTTATCAATTTCCTTTAAAATGAAATTTAAATTAAAGTAATAAACAACAAACTCACCATATACCTTCCATTTTGCCCCTTACTCTTCTTTTGGGAATTCTATCTATATCCTTTGATTCATTACAAACACACCCCCATATCAACATATTCTCCATGAAAATTCCTTACATTTTACTCCCCACTTTTCCTGCTAATTAGGGGTAGAATGGTCAAATTGCCCTTAGGGAAGAGAGCATCTAAAACTTAACAAACATTTTGGTTGGACTGTCGCCGCGGCGAGGAAGCTTCTGTCACCGCGGCGAAACCGTCTAGAATGTTTCCCTGTGGCTTCAACACCTCTTCGCCGCGGCGAAGATTCTTCTTCGCCCCGGTAAAGCTTGGCACACTGAACTTCTTCTATTTTCAATCAATTTCAGGGCAAGTATTCAACACAACACTCAGTCAAAGGTCAACCAAACAATATTACCAAGAGACCAACTCAAATAAGAGCAAAAGAAGAAACAATAACTACGTACCTCAAGTGGGGCGTTACAATATTGTAATACTATCGTTTGTTTTTATTGTAGTAATGGCTCCAAAAAAATTGATGAAATTTATTCGAAGACTTGATTCTGAAGCACTATATAGAGCAGGATCAAGCAGTGATTCCAAGTCAGAATCGTTAATGCCTATACAAACTTCAGTTTTACCTGCATCAGTCTCCAATCCCGTGAAACCTGATTCTGGTTCCTGCTATGTTAAACTGACTGAAGAAGAAGATAATCAGTCAGAAGAAATTCCATTACGTCAATTCATGAAATGGTAGAAAACTTGTCAGCAATAGGGTCCAAATACGAATTCTGAACGAAAATGGAAAAATCTTTGTAAAGAAGATCTAGACAACAAAACTTTCGGTCCAGGGAAAAAGGTAATGTTTTTTCACTGTATCATGTGAATATATACTTATGGCATGATAATGTTAAGGTGGTTTCATTGTTTTTGAAATAGGCTTATGAAGGTTTCTTAGAAATCAGAGAACGTTGGCTTGTTTCAGAAGGCGTGGTTGCAGATTTGATAGAACAAAATGAAGATGCGATTGCCGAGTTTGCAGATTGAAAGAACAATTGAAAATATCAAAGGATGCTTTTGAAAAGGTCAAAACCGAATTGAAACATTGTCAAGAATCATTTAAAAATGCTGAAGTGTCTTTTGCAAATGAGCGACAGCAAAAGGAAGTCTTTAAAAAGAAAAGTTATGAATTGTCTAAAAAAATAATAAGATTAAATCTTTAATTGCACAAGTTGAGAAAGATAAAGAAGAGGCTTATGATTCAGTGTCAGATATGTTTTTGAGCACTATTGTAATAACTGCTTTCTACTAGTATACTTTAGAACATATACAATAAAACATACATAATTAGTATATGAAAGTAGTTGGGCCCAAATTTTTCTTTACTTACAAAACATAATTCTTTATATATATCAAAATAACAAGTACAAAAACCTTAGCAACAGTGGATAGTAATGCCAATCCTCCCCGCTTGTCGACGTCCTTCCGACCGCTGCTCACCTATTTCCTGCAAAAATATGGAAAAACAACAGGGTGAGCATAAAAATGCTCAGTAAGTAAATCCCTTAACTCTTCTCCTTCTTAGGTTCTTTCCTTACTTAATTCCTTCTCTTTTCTTTCTCTGTTTCTTACTCTCACTATTCTTTTCTTTCTTTCTACTTTTCTTTGTTCTTTCTTTCTTATTCTTTCTATTCTTCCTAACCATGATGAAATTCATGGCAATATGCATGACTAAAATGCATATGCAATAATGCATAAAATGCTTTTTCTTTCTTATTTCTATTTTCTTTTCTTTTTCTTTCTATTCTTTTCTATTCTTTTCTTTTCTTTCTTGTTTTTCTTTTCTTTTATTTTCTTGGCTTCAAGCCTTCTCATTCTTTCTTATTCTTATTCTTTCTTATTTTTATTCTTTCTCATTCTTTCTTATTCTTATTCTTTCTCATTCTTTCTTATTCTTATTCTTATTTTTTTCTTATTCTTTGCCAATCGGACTCGGTTGATGTATGGATTTGGAACCTTGGCCGTGTGAGTGAGTACAGTCCTCATCTACATGCACTCTTATGGACCGTACAACTTCTCCTTTCTTCATAGGCCACTCAATTAAGGTGGCGTGCATGTAGGAATTCTTCTTGGTACAACCCTCATCCACATACACTCTTACGGGTCATACAATTCTTCTTCTTTTTATGCCACTCAATNTCACCCTTTCATTGTTGATTGCTTTGCAGGTAGACTAGAAGCGAGGGATGCTAGAGACAGCGGGACTACACGTGAGGGGAGATGATTTATTATCATCTCGATGTTTTTATCTTGATGTAAATATGTAAATGATAAATATTTGTGAAATACCTTTGGAAGTTTCCACCCTATAAATATGTTTTGATTGTGTAATTTTTTAAAGTTTGTAAATTATAAGTTTAGATCCTGCGTGATATTTTATATGCATGTTTTGGATATTATTATTATTATCCTTATACAGATTTTTTTCTAAATACAACTCGTTCTCCAGACATGTATCCTCGGGATTCTCATTGAGGGATATTTAGAGGATGCCTGACTGGAGGGGGGTTTTACATTTTCATATTCATATAAATATGTTTAATTTTTCACATCAATCTCTCAAAAACAATGTCTTATATTATATACAATGGATCAATACTTTCTATTATAAACAATGATTCATATAATATAGAAGATATTAATCCCTACAGTTAAAGATTTCGTTGAAAACAATATTTGTCAATGTCTCCGCTGATTCATCTTCTTGCAAGTCTAGTAGAATCTTGATACCTTGTCTTGAAGTTACTCTTGATAGTGCCACATACAATTGACCATGTGTAAAAGACTTGATGGTTCATATACAATCCTACTATTTTGAGTGATTGACCGTGACTTTTGTTTATTATCATACAGAAGCTAACTGTCACAGGTAACTGTCTTCTCTTTAACCTGAAAGGCCACTTCATATCTACATTTGACATTATTATTCTGGGAATTGTGACAATATCTCCAATGTTTGACCCGGTGATAATCGTTGCTTGTATAGACCATTTTCCTAAATGGGTTACGATCAATCTGGTTCCATTGCAAAGACCATCGATTGATTCAAATTACGCAACAACATAATTGGAACGCCAATTTTCATATGCAATTCATGTTTGGGCATGCCGGAGCACATCAGAGAATTAAGAAATTTGGTGGGATAGAGAATGTCATCATTGTTTGAGATACCTATTGCTTTGCAAGTGTTGTCCGAGCTTAAATACATCTTTCCATCTATTGGTAGATTCTGGGTGATATAGTCGTTCAATTTATGTACTGTCTGATTTTTGGGTGTCAATATTGCTCTCTGTTTCTCTCATATAATCAATATTATTTATCTAAGCAGATAAATTTGGAAAAACAGCATTCATAATTGTTTCTTCGTGACTGGTATGTTGATCAATTTTTAAGTCTTCAGGTATTTGGATGTAACTTTCATCTTCTGCAATGTCCCTTCCTTCTCCGATACTAAGTAACCATTCGTTAAAAGCCTTCAAGTTATCCAATTCTGTTGGGTTCACCAAGTTTGTCTTCAACCTCATGTTCTCTGTAAGTGTCAACACCGTTACATGTTTCCAAAGGGAAGATGACGATAGATAGGCCTGTATTACATCATGTTTTTTCCCTTTTGGTATAACTGGTAGAATCTGTCTGAAATCACCACGCAGGGCAACGATGAGGCCTCCAAATATTCTATCTGCATTTGATTGATCTTTTTCAGACAAAATATCTTTCAAAGCTCTGTCAAAGGCTTCAAAGCAATACCTGTTTGCCATGGGTGCTTCATCCCAAATGATCAAAGTTGTTTGTGTAAATAGTTTTTCCAATTGTGTCCCGTTTTTTATATCACATGTACTTTCCGTAGTGATATCTAAAGGAATTTGAAAACGTGAATGTGCTATTCTTCCACCTGATAGAAGCAATGCAACAATTCTTGATGTAGCTATGGCCAATACAATTTTACCCTTGGATCTTAATTTGGCCATGATTGTTGATCATAGGAAGGTTTTGTCTATTCCACCATGTCCGTAAACAAAAAATGGTGTTCCACTTTGATTGTTGATAGAATCAAGGATCAAATCATATACACGTCTCTGGCCATTGTTGAGACCTTTGTATAAATCACTGTGCACTGTTTCCATGTTGTCGATATCATAATCTAATTCTTCAGCAATTAATCTATTATGTGAATTCTAAAAAATAGAATAGTCTGGAATTGGCATTCCAGGGAAATCAGCCAAGGTTTTCCTCCCTTTTTCATGGGCTCATCAATTTGGAACAATGCATGATTGTGAGTATATTCCTCAGTGCATCTCAATTCTGTCATCCGCATTTTTTGTTTAAGAATGTAGGGAATGTCTTCAGATAGGCATTCTGCATTTGCTCTCCATAAGTCTCTTAGACTCACCACTTCATTATATATAAGAATAGTTACAAAGAGTTGTCTTAGCTGTCTTCCAGTAGCCCACATTGATGCTTCATCCAAGCAATCATTCCATTCTTTATCATCATCGAGCAATCCTAATGCATAACATGCATCTTTGAATGTAGGGAATATTTCTCCGTTGACAGTTCGAATATCTTCAAATGATGTTGCTCCTCTTACTAAGTTCAGAAGCATTCGCAAATGATATTTCTCATCACTACCTTGAAATGAGAAATACACCTGCCAATACACCTTGATTTTTGTCGTGGCGACCATTGTTTTTCTGTATCCTTCCAAACCCATTTGCTCGAAAAATTAGGATAAGTCAATGATCTTGCAGAATGGTATCGTTGATTACACTTCATCTATTCAGTCAATTTCATTTGCGTAACAACCTTACTTTCCAAAAGTTGAACCAAACACTTACTTGGATCGAAAATAACTGTTTGTCCGTTCTCTAAGTGGAATGGCAATCTTTCAACAACTGGTTCTCTGTAATACATGTCAAACGTAAATATCCTCCAGCAAGCTTACATAGAAGAGATATATCTGTAATGTTTTTCATTGAATTACTTAATATCGTATTTATAACAAATATCAACAAACAATATAAAAACATTATATTTGATGTATTTTGTAAATACCTGCAGTCCAGATATGCCTTTATTTCGTCTTTGTCCTATAAAATCTCGCATTGATTGTTCTGTTAACCATTGTTTTCAATTTCCATAGAAACTCTCGTTCTGTCCGGCCCCTTGTTAACATACTTGAATAGATACTTGATTGATCTATGTTGATTACATATCTCAATATTTATGTGAGCATCAAACTTAACCAAAAGATTCCTATTATAAGAAGCAACAAAATGGTTTTCCAGTTTGATACCCTTTTTCTCAACAAATGCTCCATTATTCCGTCTTCTATACATTGGGTATCCGTTGTCATCCACAGATGTTTCATTGACAAATTTCTTTGGAAAATGTTTTTTACATCTTCCTCTTTCCATACATGGTGAATTCTGGTTAACATCACCGTACGAACCGTGGATCATGTGATTCTTCACAGCTGCAAAGGCAACACCATCAGTTTCCTTATTTGGAATTTCAGTAGAAACTATTTTATCTATTTTGGATGCCGAAGGATTCTTATATTGGGAATGTAGAAAAACCAATATATGAGCATGTGGGAGGCCTCTCTTTTGGAACTCGATAGTGTAGATTGTTAGATTTGGTGCCCTAGAGCCAATCAATTATTAAAAAATTGACTCTTTGTAATAATGTCTATTAATCAATAAAAGACAATTTTCTTCTATATCATGTAAATCATTCCCTGCATTGATATATGTCCTTAGGATGGTTGAACCGTGACGAGGGTATCAAGTGTTTCAAATCTTGATAGTGAGAACCCTATGATCACATATAGTGGCTATTCTAGAAATGTTCGTAGCCTTAGTATTATTCTGACCAAGGACACAGATAATATGGTAAGACTATTATAGTGTTGAAGACCCTGTCAAAAGATAGTGATTGATCTCACTTGTCAAGGTTGTTTGCCGACAACCTGGTGCGACACATGGGTGTTTGCTATATGCGAGTTCACTGGACAGACCCACCAGAGGATTCCATATAGATGGTAACTCCAGTGTCTATGGAATCAATCCTCTAACGAATGGTGTGCATGTGATCCTTAGACTTGAGATTACCGGAGCATCTTGTGCACTGATTGGTGTAGTTTGACACTAACCTAACATAGTTCTATTCAAAGCTATCAATATGGTAGTGATTGGCTGCATTGAGGAGTGTATCAAGACTATGGTGGATCAACAGATGATTCATCACTTCCGGGTACGGGAGAAGTTATCTCATGGCGAAATTCAGTGAATGACAATGACACTAAAGTTGCGGCCACAATGGGATTGAGTTGTTGCTCAATCCAATTTATTATTTCGGTCATTGGTTCAGTAACTAAATACAAAGATATCGAGGATATCTGAGGTTGACACTATTTCTGTACCTCAGCCTCGATGAGATAACGCATGATGAAAGGATTTGATTGCACAGTAACGATATCGTTGATAGGCTGCGATTTCGCTGAATCTGAATCTATCGGGTGGCCATGATGTCTTGCTAGTGGCCAATCTTGGTTTGTGTGTAGTGAGATGATTAATTGGAGTTAATCGCGATACTACTCACTGCTGATATGATGAGGAACCTACGAGTCACACACTTAGAAGACAATTTAAGAATCAGTCTATGAGAGGGGTATTTTCGTCTTTTGGGATGAAAGGGTATTTCGGTAATCTTACAGTGCAATTAAATTTGCTGGGGCTGTTGCCTGTGTTTAATTTTAATCTCAATATTAAAATTAGTGAGATTATATTTAAACATATGCGCGCATGTATTTAAATGTATTATTATTATTTAATTAAATGTTAATATATTATTGTGTATATATTAATTGATTTTAATTGTAATAATAATTAATTAAATTTTAAAATACCAATTAAAGGGTGTTTGGTTACAAGGGTGAACTAGGGTTGGAGCCCACATCTATTCCTATGTGGAATAGGGTTTTTAATTGTTGCACTATATAAGTGCAACTTAAAATTAAAAACATAAGAGGATTATTCATTAAAAAAAAAACCCTCGCCACACAAAAGCTCTCTCTCTCTCTACGTTTTACTCTTTAGTGAAAAAGAAATTTTTTCTTATTCTTGTTTCTTTGATTCTTGATGCCCTTGGTTATTCTAGCAAAATAATCAAGGGTTCTGCGGATTGTCTTCGTGTGGACAGCTTGAGTGCGTTTCTACGTTGAATCGAGTAGCGAAATCAAATCTAGAGATATTTGGAGGAGCCTCCAAACGTGTGTAAGCATTTTGAATCCTTGTATGGATTTATTATATTCTTGTAATGCAGAATTTATAAACACTATAATATGTACCTAGATTTGGGGCTAAGCATATCATCGGTTTTTATTTGTTTTAAAACTGTGTTTTTTCGCTACGTACTCCTGATCTTTTGCTAACAATGGTATCAGAGCCTTGGGTACCAGATTATATTGTTTAATCGTTGATGTTTGATAACATGATTGGTCTGATAACATGTTTTTGTATAATCTATTTTCATGAATCTGAAAGATTTCTATATATTGATTGGTTTAATTGATCAATTAACTAATGATGTGTTGATGAGTGACCTATTGGTTGGTTGATGTCCTGGTCGAATGCTTGTGCATTCGATTCGATTTGCATTTGTGTCGTTACATGAAAAACTGCAAAAAGGGTGACTATGCAATTCACTGTTTTGTAGTGTTTGCCACGGCAAAATAACACTTCCTCGTGGCGAGAGGCAAAAAGTGAATCGCGATCACGGTATGAAACTCTCTGGAACTTTTCTGCGTTTTTTGAAGTTCACGATCGCCGCGGCAAAATAAAACTTTGCCACAACGACCATGGTATTTGAACTTTGCCATGCAAAGAAGTTCTTCGCCACGGCAAGAAAGCCACTGTTCTAATTTTTTCATTCTTCGCATAGGGGCCAAATTGCAGTTTTTGAACCTTTAAAACCAATAATCATTCGGCACATATAAGAAGGGTAATTTAATAATTTTCACCCAATTCAAAATGTTTGTTTTGAATATATGCGATGTTCTTATTTGAAATTGCATGGTGTTCGGTACATGAGCCCTAGACCTATTGTTTACTGTTTAAAATTTTTGGGTTTGTTTGTAATTTTATAAAGAAATAGGACCTGCGTGTCCTGCCTCTCTCTCTTATATCTCCATGTATTTCTCTTCTTATCTCATTCCCCTTGTATGTAATGCGAGGTTTCTATTTTTATTGATGTAAATTAGAATAGGATTTTTTATTATAAAAATTCTTTGTAATGATCGTGACGAAGAAATGAAGGAGCTATAAAGAGGAATAACTTGAAGACCCAAGATTTACTTTTAAACCCTAGGTTGATCTACCAATTCCTCTAGGCTCAAGGAAATTGGTTTTAATGGGCCATGTACCGGCACGTTTTAATTTTTTTTAGAATGCATGCTAAGGTTGAATCTTTAATAAAATGTCGATCAAATGACATTCTAACAAAGATAATAATCTCTTGAGACATTAAATAAAAACCCTCAAATTAAGTATGTTAAGTCACTTGAAAGGCCTTCCATCACCATGACTTTAATCAAACAACTATTCGTTAGAATCTTGTTCGTCAAAGCGAAGGGTACACTTCTACTAGTGGGAGGTTAAAGCTCATTGGAATTTTCCTTAATGGTGATGGGTCGACTTAAACTGACTGTTTTGCTTGTTCGCCAAAGCGAAGGTTGATAAACATGTCATAGGCATAGTAGAGAAGTACACTTGTTATGTGTATGTGGCGACATGTAATGTCCACTCTACTGATACTGAGGATCACACTTGAAGACAATGGCTTTGGTCATCGTATTGTGTGATTGGTTTGTTCGCTTACTTCACATTTGAGGTTGGTAGTGGGAGCTATCAATTGGTGTGGATTAAGTTTGTTGGCCTACCTAATCAACCATTTTGGCTTGTTTGCCAAAGCAACGGTTTGAAATGGGCTAGATGGGATCTTAGTCCACTAGGAAAGCCAATGGGCTTTCCCGAGTTAATAGTGAAGGCTATTGGCTTGAGGAAAATAGTGGGAGTGTTTTTAATAAAAGACCATATTAAAATAATAATCAACATTATATTAACTTTACTTTTCTATATTGTAGATTCATTTAAAAATGTGCAATATCAACCTACGATCAATAATTGAGAAAGAAAACAGGTTGGATGGCTCTAATTTCTCGAACTGGTATCGAAATCTTTGGATTATATTGAATTCTGAAAAGAAATTATATATCCTTGACAAGCCTTATTTGGCTGAGCCTGATGCCACTCAGGAAGTAAAGGAAACTTACCAAAGGTTCCTTGACGATGCTAATACTGTTCAATGCCTTATGTTAGCATCGATGACATTTGAGCTGTAAAAACAGCATGAGAATATGGAGGCTGCTGCCATAATTCTGCACCTCAAGGCACTTTGTGAAGGAAACGCTCGACATGAGAGGTACAAGGTGTCGAGTGCGTTGTTTAGAAGTCGTATGACTGAGGGATCCCAAGCTGGTCCTTATGTTCTAAGATGATTGGGTACATAGAAAGGCTTGAGACTTTGGGATTAGGGTTGGATGCATAATTACAAATGGATTTAATTCTGCAATTCTTACCTGATTCCTTTTCATCGTTCATAATGAACTTCAATATGAACACTATGGTGAAACCTCTATCAGAGCTTCTGAACATGCTGAGCACTGTAGAGCAGGACATGAAAAAGTCCAAGCATATTTTATTGCTTGCTGCCAATAAAGGAAAGGGTAAGAGCAAGGGAAAGGCCAAGGTCAATCCCAAGGCCAAATTCAAAAAATAGGATGCTCTCAAGCCTAAGGGTGGCGTTGGGAAAGGTGGGAAGGTAGTTTGCTTCTATTGTGGCAAGCCTGGCCACTGGAGGAAACACTACAAGGCTTTCCTCGCAAACAAGAAGAAGTTAGACTCTTCGACTTCAGGTATGTACATGATTGAGATTAACTTCTCTCCTTCAACATCTTGGGTCATTAACACAGGGTGTGGTACTCACATTTGTACTGATGTGCAGGGACTAAAGCATTATAGATTGCTCACTAAGGGAGAAATGGACTTACCAGTTGGAAATGGAGCACGTGTGGCTGCAGTAGCTCTAAGGACTTATTGTTCATCTTTGCCTATGAGCTTATTATTGGAACTTAAAGATTGTTATTTTGTACCTACAATTTCTAGAAACATTATTTCAGTATCCACTTTGGATAATATAGGATATCATTTTGAGATTTCTAATGGATTGTTGTCCTTTAGTTTGAATGGTATTCTATTTGAAATTGCAAGGTTATATAACGGATTATATGTTCTTAATTTAAACAATGAGGATATTCTCAACGTTGAAACTAAGAAAGCTAAACATAGTGATCAAAACCATACATACCTCTGGCATTGTAGATTGGGTCATGTTAATTAGACCCGCATTATAAAACTTCAAAAGGATGGAGTTTTGGATCCTTTTGACTTCAAGTCATTTGAGGCATGCAAGTTATGCCTTTTAGGCAAGATGACCAAGTCACCTTTCATAGGACTAAGTGAAAATGATACTAAACTATTAGGCATCATCCATAGTGATGTATATGGTCCACAAATAGTTGAAGCCAAAGGTGGATATTCCTACTTCATCACATTCACTGATGATTTCAGTAGATATGGTTATGTCTACCTTATGAGACATAAGTCTGAAGCCTTTGATAAGTTCAAAGAATTCAGGAATGAGGTACATAATATGTTGGGTAGAAGTATTAAGGCTCTTCGGTTAGATTGAGGAGGTGAATACTTGAGCTCAGGGTTTTTTGAATACCTAAAGGAGTGTAGGATAGTATCACAACTCACCCCTCCGTATACACCCCAGTACAATGGAGTGTCTGAAAGGAGGAATAGGACCTTACTTGATATGATTAGGTCTATGATGAGTTTTAGTGATCTACCCGCATCATTTTGGGATTATGCCCTAGAGACTGTGACTCACGTATTGAACCGTGTGCCGTCAAAGTCTGTAGATAAGACTCCATATGAACTATAGAGTGGGCGAAAGCCTAACTTGTCTTATCTAAGGATTTAGGGTTATGAAGCTTATGTCAAGAAGTTGACTTCAAACAAGCTGAGCCCGAAATTTGAAAAATGTATCTTTGTGGTATCCTAAGGAGACCAAAGGATACTATTTCTACTATCTAGAAGAGCGCAAAATTTTTGTCACTCATACTGGTGTCTTCTTAGAAAATGAATTTTTCCTAAGAAGTACTAGTGGGAGAAAAGTAGAACTCGATGAAGTTCTAAAACCACAAGATACGTTAGACCAAGGATAAGAAGGTGTGACACAAGAGGCGGTTGAACATCGTGAGGAGGTTACTCCACAATCTGTGGATCAAAGTAAACCACCTCAAGTAGCTCAGGAGCTACGTAGGTCTGGGAGAGTACGTCATAAGCCTGAGAGATATGGTTTTCTCGTGATTCACCATGGTGACGTACTGGTCTACCAAGACAATGAGCTCAGAACCTACGAAGATTCTATATCGGATCCATATTCTGTTAAATAGCTTGAGCCATGAAATCTGAGATGGACTCCATGTACCAGAACCAAGTATGGTCTTTGGTGGATCCACCTGAAGGGGTAAAACCTATAGGGTGTAAATGGGTCTTCAAGAAGAAGACTAACATGGATGGCAAGGTGCATACTTATAAGGCACGACTGGTTGCCAAAGGTTTCAAATAAATTCATGGCATTGACTAAGAAGAAACCTTCTCGCCAGTTGCCATGATTAAGTCCATCTGGATTATGCTTGCGATTGTTGCATATCATGACTATGAAATTTGGCAAATGGATGTCAAAACAGCTTTCCTGAACGAAAACCTTGAGAAGGATGTGTATATGACACAACCCGATGGCTTCGTTTTTTATGGACAAGCTGATAAAGTATGCAAGTTGCAGAGGTCCATTTATGGACTCAAGCACGCTTCAAGGAGCTGGAACATTCGTTTTGATAAAGCCGTAAAGGAATTCGGTTTTATTAAGAATGAAGATGAGCCCTGTGTTTACAAAAAGGTAAGTGGGAGCACAATGGCATTCCTGGTGTTGTATATCGACGACATACTTTTGATCGGGAATGATATTTCACCCCAATTAATTAATTTTTTGGACAAAATTACCCTTGAATTCAAAACAAATTGTAGCCCACCCAAGCCACCACCCCCACCCACCTGCCGCCGGCAACCACCGCTGCGGCTAGCCACCGCCACCGTCAGAACGACACACGGAAAGTCGAAAATGGCCGCTGTGCGCCGATATGGCCATTTCTGACAAGATATCTGGCCGAAAAATGGCCAGATCCGTCATCGATTTGGCCATCAACGACCAGATCTGTCGCGTCTGGCCATTTCTAGCCAGATCTCTGGCCGAAAATGGCCATACGGCGCACGAGACAATTTCCTGCCTTTCGTGCACAGCCGACAACCTATTGTGATTGCCAGCGGTCAGCAGGGATTGGGTTGGTAGGGGTGCTTTGTTGATTTTTACAACCTTTATTATGAGGTTGTTTTTACTAAGTTTTTAAATGCAGCGGGGGTTATAATATCCAAATAATAATCAAGATTAAAAAATAATATAATAATAATATTTAATTAGAAGACAATTCAGTAATTTAAATAACATATCCACCAATTTATTCCTCCCAACCAAACATATTAATGTAATATACCCATCAATTAAATAAACACATTTTCCTAAAGATTCCTAGTAATCTTCAAGGTAATCTAACTTTTCAATAATCTAACATTCCCTAAACCAAACGCCCCCTATATACATAATTGAATTATGATTTCGAGCAACTATCTTTTTTCTTCAATAGCCAAATAAACTTGGCCGAATTAATCTGCACATAGAAATTTGTTAAATTATGAAGATAAAAAGCAAAGATGATTCCTAGAAAAAGTTTAGAATAAATAACCAAAAAAAAAATTTGAGAATACTGTCTATTTCTTATTAAAAGAATACTGATACATATATTTGAAGATCAGAGTTATTACAAAAAATTCTCTAGTCCCAATTACTTGAACTAAACTTATCGGATGAAATTGTTATTTTCCATATATTTAGTTTGATTATTTGACTTTAATTAAATCTTTTGCTTTTGCTTTTCCTTTTGCCCACGGTAACGTTAATCTTTTCGTTGCCTTAACAAATTCCCAGGCCCATGTCTCGTTCTAACCCGCCAGTAGAAAAGATATTTATTTATATTTTTGTTTGTGCAATAGAAACGTAATCTGCAGTGTTGAGTGTTGACACGTACACTGAAATCCACCACAAACACAAAACACCCATCTTAAAAACCCCCCTCCCTTTCTCTTCTTCGATCAAATCATCTCTCAGTGTCTCACCCACAAGACCAACTGCTTCTTTTAGAGCTCCAACAATGACATCTGCTTTACAGGCTATTCTTTCTGCCAATACTTTCCCTTCCTCAAACTTATTCTTCTCCCCCAAACACAAACACAAACCCGTTAAAAATTTCAACCAGTTCGCCGTCCGAGCTTCCTCTGATGACTCTGATTGTAATGAAGAAGAATGCGCTCCTGATAAGGAGGTTATTTATCTTTCTTTTATATATTTACAATTTACTACTCTGCTACTTAGTGAATTATAATATATATGCTTTTGTGCTGGTTCCTGAGATTTTTCCTTTTTGTAAATTTTAGTTATAGTTTCTAGAAATGTACGGAACTTTCATGGTGATTTTAGTTTTTGTAGCTTAATGGCATCCTTTGATTTAATCAGTTAGGTTGGATACGTTATCTGTTTTGTAACATTACCGAAGTGTTTCGAAGATGGTAACGTTACTGAACCGTTAATTACACTCTTGGATTGAAATCTTAGCAATTGATGGGCTGAAAATGTTAATGTAGTAGTATTGCTTATAAGTTAACTATGACAAGTTCAATTGCAGATGCTCCCATAAAGAACCGGTAACGTTACTGAACTGGTATTTAACAATATATTCTAATGTTACTAAATCAAATTATGGTATTTGTAACCAAAATGTGGATTTGACAATGTTACTGGATTGGTACCATAATATGACCTATTAAGAAATAAAATTGAAGCCCGGCATTTTTTCTTTTTGGTTTGTTATATATTTAGAGTTCATTGATCATGCAATTTCATTTTTATATTGTATTTGGGATGCTGAAGATGAGAATTATTTATATGGCATAGGTGGGGAAGGTGAGCATGGAATGGGTAGCTGGCGAAAAGACCAAAGTGGTGGGAACATTTCCACCGCGGAAACGGGGTTGGACCGGTTATGTTGAGAAGGACACTGCTGGCCAGACTAACATTTATTCCGTTGAGGTACCATTCGCTTGCTTTTCCTGTTATAATCATCCCTGCATAGGGAAACCGTTTGATCAATTAAGACTCACGAAGAACAAATTATTTTGTTTCTTCATTCTTTGTCATAAATTTTATAGAATCCTGTTAGCTTTGCTCTAAATACAGACTTCCTTCACATTTTACTGTCCTCACTGACCCCTTATTGCCGTACTAGTCAGCTGTGTAGGAAAAACAAACATAGATGATTGTTGAAAGCAGGGACAGACCTGTTAAGGGGCGAGTGGGGGCTGGTGACTCCATCCAAAAAAAAATAAAAATTTGATCAATTTTGCTTAGTTTTCTGTTTTGGTCAGGTTGTACTTGTGTTAATGTTTCTAGATTTGACCCCAATCACTTTGTTCATATTTATATTAAATTAGTTACAATTCCACTCACTTAGTTTTCTTAGAATTATTGTCCCCCCAACATTAATTCCTGGGTTCATCCCTGCATGGAAGAAGATGGAACAGATGATCATATGGTAAATGAAATTGAGGTTGAAATTACTAGATATATCTAAGTATTTCGAGGATAAAACTCTTTAGCTTTAAGATACGAGTCTAGAATCCTGCAAGCTTTCACTTAATTACTTTGATGTGAACTGCATGATTCAGAAAAGCCAGCTTTTCGATCACATGTGAAAGGTTTAAAACCAGTGCAAAAGATACGAATTCCGAAACTAACAGTCTTTAGGTCTGACAGATGACACCGTCTAATAGATTTTTCATTTCCAGCCTGCAGTTTATGTAGCAGATAGTGCAATAAGCTCCGGAACTGCAGGTTCATCCTCCGCAGGAGCTGAGAACACGGCAGCAATTGCCAGTGGTCTCGCCCTCATCTCCATAGCCGCAGCTTCATCAATACTTCTCCAAGTTAATAAGAGCACCCCGCCACCGCTGCAGACAGCCGAGTACAATGGGCCATCGCTCACTTACTATATCAACAAGTTTAAGCCACCGGAAATCGTCGAAGCTTCAGTACCAAGTGAAACTGAATCATCCTCACCGGTCCAACCGGAAATAACTGCCCAGGAAGCTCCACAGATTCAGGTTCAGTCTGAATATCCAGTGCCAGAGCCTTCAACTTAGAGTATAAACAGCGTTTCTTAGGCAGATTATATAAGTTGGTCGTATTGATCGCTCGTTAAACTTATTGTAGATGTTTCTTTCATACCACTGGTGCATATTTTTGTTATGGTAGTCAGGGTTTATAATCAATACATCTTCTGTGCTGGTTTTGTAAAGCAGAAATGAACCTAAAAATTGGGAGATTATCAATGAAAGGTGTAAGTTTTCAAAAATTATATAAAGGATGGAAGTTTCAAATCCTTCAATAAAGGGACAATCAGCGCTGTGTAAGGGTAAGAAAGTAATTTTACGCACTTACCGATTTTAATGAATAGGGATAGTAGATAAATAAATTATATAAGATTATTGTTCTCAAACAATATTGATTTGGGATTCAAAATTAAGTTAAATTATGGCTTTCTATTTATGAAAAAATATTTGATAAGTTTCATACTTTCATTAAGTCAACAAAACAAACTCAAGGTATCTTAATGAAATCCATTAACATATAATAAGACTTTAAACAAAAAAAAAAAAAAAAGTCCATAAATCTTTTGTAATAGTAATTTAACATAATAAACTAAATTAAGTAAATAGAAGAAGTAAAAGCAAATCAAACTATTGAGGAAAATACCATATATGAAGGTGTGGATCTCATTTATTTTTTAAGAAAAAAGAAAAACAAAGTTTAAATTCTCTTGAATTATCACAGAATATTATTTTGTCCTTTGGATATTTGAAATAACAATTCATCGTCTATTTTCACTATTTAGTTTGAGTCTTCGTTGTCTGACTACCGAATTTTATACTTAAAAGGTGCGTTTGATTTATTATTTTGGATAGGATTTTAGGAATAGTATTGGATAATTGAATATGTGAGTATTACGAGGTAAAATTTAAAAATTTATAAAATAACCCCCTAAGTTTGCTAATTTAATAAATACCCCAACATGTCAAATGACAAAAATACTCCCACCACCTACAATGCCAGATTCCGGCCACCACTGCCGGAATCTGGCCGGAAAATCGCGTTACGACATAGATCGATCGGATTTGTGTAGTAACGCGTTGTTATGGCCTTTTTCAGCCAGATCCACCACGGATCTGACCGGAAAAGGCCAGATCCAAGGCCTGCCGTGACCGTCAACGGCCGAAAAAGGCCAAAACGACGGTCATCTTTGGACGTCAGCGACGGCTAAAGATATGGCCGTCGTTTTCGGTCAACGATGGCCATTTCTTTGGCCGTCGTTCACGGCCAGATCCGTGGTGGATCTGGCCGGAAAAGGCCAGATCGGTGAAATTCCTACCATTTATGGTCGTCAGGTAGGCCGTTGTACAGATTCCGGCTACCACCGACGGTGGTTGCCGGAATCTAGCAAGTATGGGTCGTAGGGTTGTTTCCGATAATTTTTAAACTTTTTTTCAGGGTGTATTTGATGAAATTAATAACCTTATGAGGTCTGAAAGTAATTAAAAAATAGGGTAATATTTCTGGAATAATGTGCTAAACATTATTTGGATAATAGGATTGGGAATAGGGATAAAAATAATAAGCCGAACATGGCCAAATCTGTTAAATTAAACAATACTAATGGCAGGATAAGATATTATTTCATAATACCAATATAATGTTATTCAATAATATCTCAAAGGAAAATCAAATTAATGAATGTACTTTATTATATTTTTTTATTCACTTAAGTACTATTGACTTTGTGTTAAAATTATGAAAATATATAAAATTAAATAACGAGTGTACTTAGAAATATAGTATTATATATAGTTTTTTTTATTTTTTTTTATTTTTTATTCTAATAACCATTGCAATTGTATTACCTTTTCCATTTTGGCGCGAAAATTCATTGTGATTAATTAGGGCACATTTGAGTTTTGGTGCTGAGTTCTATGGCCGGCTTAGCGTTTCGTCATCCTCAATTTTCCGAGGTAACTTCTCTTTTCTTTCACAAATTTTCGCAAATTGTTTAGTGAAAAGTCACTGGGTAGTAATTAGATTCAAGAGAGTATTGTGGGTTCTTCATAAATAACATTAAATTTATTACACAATTGCAGGAATTAGCCTGGCTTCCCGCTTGGCTTCAGCCACATCAAGTTGAAGCATCCAATGAATATCAAACCACCACCAGTCCTCCACTTAAGGTTTTGTTCATTTTTTTTTTTTTTTTTTTTTTGTTATCTTTCAAGAGTTAATTTACATACCTTTGTGTGGAAAAAAAAAATATGGGTTTTGTTTAGTTTAGTGGACCAATAGGTGGTTGACGAAATCTTTTGTGAAAATTTAGGTTTAGAAAGTAGTATTGATTTTTAAAATTATTATTAATATTGGTAGTTTTTAATTTTTTGTGGGGCAAGTGGAATTGTACTCACAAGACAATACAAAAGTTTACGAATATTATCTAATTCTGGCATCGTGCTTTACCTTTCAGAAGGTCTCGTTACTGCTTTTGCTCCATTCTAATATTATCTTTGAGAGTTAAATTTACGAAAATATGTGCGGAAGATGTCGGGCTTTTTTTACTATTCCGCTGTTGATGAAGTATTTCGTTAAAATATAGGTGTAGTAAATAGTATTATTGTTTTAATTATTTGTAAGACAATAATATTGCTAGCAGGAAATAGAGTATGTGGTTTTTCATTTTTCTTAGGAAGATGGAATTGTGCTCATAACAATATGCACGTTTGTTAATACTGTGAATTCTGTTATTTTGCTACCTTGGACCTTATATAAGCTTGTATAACCGGTATTCCTAGACAACACTTCTGAATAGCTATTATCTGCTTTTGATTTTTCATTAGCTTCTTATCATCTGTGACATCCGTAAATCCTTCATGATTTCAATTCCCTGAGCAACTAGTAGCACATAATCAGTGTTTTTCACATTGTGAAAGGCCTGAATCACAATTTGTCTGGAGCTGTGGCCACATAAACTAAGATTGAAGGCTGCATTATTATACACCGCAGTTGATGCCCCAGGTCATGTTCCTATAATTAGTAAACCTAAGGTTGATGATAAGGCAGAGGTTTAAGTCATATGTAGCTTCAGTTGGAAATTGTTTGATTGATTTGAGTTTTACAATGGCAATAACATGCGTCTTGGTTCTAAGTAAGATTTTAGTTTATATATTTGTATTATTTAGTCTCAATGGCTTTTATTTTGCCATAAGTTGATATAATCAGGATTAAATATGATTATAAGAAAAATTTCATGTTATCTTCAATCATTGTGATGTTGTATGGATTTTGCTGTCCTCTAACATGTCCTGAAAAATTTTATTTGCTAATATGTCCTCTGATGGCCCTGCATAATTACAATGGACAGGATTTGGAAATATTACAAAGGAACATCTGTGAAGTAAAAGATGCGGCTATGCCGTCAAGTGAAGAAGGGAGATATAACAGTTGTCATTTATTCTTATCTGGTGAAGACAATTCACTGGTCAGTTCTGGTCCATCTTCTGATAAGGTAAGTTCTCAAACATATTATGGCAGAAAAATTATTTATTTGTTATTTTTTGATGTGAGCTATACCTCTCTTGCATTCTTCTGACTGGACTTTGTTGTTAGGTCATTTAAGTTGTAGTGGGAGGGGTCTGGGATTCTTTTGCCTTTTTGGTTTGATAAATAAAGGAAATTGTATTGCATTATCAAAAAATAGCTTTATGACCATGTAAAGTTATGAGATTATGGTTTGTGTTAATTATGTTAAAAAGTTTCACAGTTATTTGATTTATTTATTTCTATTTTACAATTTGGCAAAGCATTACAAAGAGTATTTACTTTAAAATTGAAATAGAAGTATTATTTTTTCTTTTTTGTCATTCTTATTTTAGTTTTGCTCTTTGTCTGGATAGTTTTTAGTTTGATCTTCCCTGTCCTAAAATAGTTTATAGTTTAATCATCACTGTCCTAGAAAAAGAAACTGAAAGAAGTTTACAATTTGCTTAGTTTTTCTAAAATACTTAATGATATCATGCTTTATATATTCATATCTAAAACTTGTATTTTTTTTAACTTCAAATTTTTATACATGTTTCTTGGATATAGTCAAAACCGCCCTTTATTTGTAAAATATACAATTTGGTAAGCATCTCAGTGAATGACTATTGAGATCCCTAGAGATAGTGAATACCATCTCATTTTATCATTCTTTAGACCTAACTTAATTTTCCTGGTCTCGCAGCATCTCAGTGAATGATTAGTGAGAACCTTAGATTTTGTTTACCATTAACAGATCTCAGAAGACCACTAAATGAAGTATTGTGAACTGCTTTTTCTTTTATATACCTTGACAAATTAAGAGAATAGGAAGATTCCTAGATTATTTCCTTTCCTTCCAAATAATTTAATCACACCTTTCCTGTTTCCTTTTTTGTAAATTGTTCCTTGGTGTACGGTTTTTTATTTTGCTGATTTGAAAGTAGATGTTTATTCTATTTTGTTCCACTATGCAAACTGGTTTCACTTTACTTCATTAAAGTCTCAAAATGTTTGTTGTCTTGCTGAAATTATTTGTTTTGAAACTGGCCAACTCTTATACATCTCTCTGTATAGGTCTATCATTTTCGTCTACACCTTTCTTCAAATGGTGCTTCAGAATATACTCAAAGTGAAATCGACGCATCTCAAGTTCATTGTGACTCTATGAAATTTCTGTCATTGCAACAAGCTGACATTTTGCGATGCATGGGACAGAATACCAATGTTAATAAAGTTTTGTCAACAAGTGAAGTTGGAAATCTAGCTGTTTCTGAGAATACAACCAACAGTAATAAGGTTCTACCAATGAGACAAACAGAAATATCAGCTGGCTCCAGAGGTTACTCTTATCATTCAAAATTGGACAATAATGCCACTGGTCTAAATTTATTAGTCCAAACTTCCTTCCCAAAAACTGTGGAAAATCTTGATGTTCAATCTCCTATACGTAACAATGATGGCAGGAGACAGTGTAAAGACAAACTCAATGTCAGATACCATAAATGTTCTGATATCAATAATGCAGTTGAACTCTCTATTTCAGCATCTGAAGCACTGGTTATTCATGAACTAGTGAACAGTGAGTCTGATTCTGAAGCTTTGTCAACTGCAGCTATACTTGAAGCTACTCTTCGAGTGAAGCAAGCGCGCTTAAAGGGCTTAGAAGATGGGTTCAATTATCCAAACAGGGAAATTGAGGAGACTGATTTGCTTTTTGACTTGGATGATTTGACTATGGCTGATGCATATGAAGACGTAGGACTCTCTTTTGTTGGACCCAATGAAAAGCTTGTTTGTAGTTCAGATGCTTCTCTAGTCAAAGAAACTCCATTTTCTGAAAATCACCATGGGTGTAACAGTGGATTTAAACATGTGGATCAGATTCAGCAAAGGAAAATTCCTGTTGACCCAGCTTTGGGTTTAAATGGTTCTCGTTTGGCCAGCAATGTTGATCACCTGTTACGTCAATCAGCAGAGGACGTTTCACAAGTTTTCAGCGTGGCACAGGTAAAGCATCCTTCACTTCTTGTTAACTTCTTAAAAATGCTTAACTGTACAAAGAAGTTTATGCTTTGCCATTTTTATCATCTCAGTTTGTCATCCCTTTCCCCTGTTCAATTCCTATTGAGGTGGCAAATGCTTTTGCTTTAGTGGACAACAAATAGCTTTATGTCATGAGGGGAGCAATGTAAAACTCACAATGGCACTCAGACTACCTTAGTTTAGTCTCTGTATACTCTCCCCAATTTGTTTTCTTCATTTTTATTTATCAAGTACGCATCATCTTTTGTTTTAAACTAGAGATGCATTTATGGAGGATGCGGGTACTAAGCAATGATATTTTGCTAGAATTATTATCTATTGCTTAACATTTGATGGCTGGTTTAGAATCTGAATTTTACAGTTTTTTGCTTGTGCAAATTGCTTCTGACACTTTGCTAATTCCCTGGCCTAGATATAGGTCTACTCTTCTTGAACAGCTCTCCTCTAACATTTATGTTTTCCAGATTAGAGTCTTGTAACACTTCATCATTAATTCTTGCTTTTTGCTCCTATCAGCCACCCCCCAAAAAAATATAAATAAAGTTTTTCCATATAAGATTTGAACATCTGGTGATGCTAATTGAGCTCCACCTGCTTCATAGTTCATTCTGTTCATAAGATGTTAATTTATTATTCATTACTTTGGTGTGGAAAATATTCAAATTTTTTTGACCATATTAAGGTATCATTAACTATGTCTCTGGTACATTGAAAGCACATATATTCATATATAGAAACTATTATTCTGTCATTCTGATTGGACTGTTGTTTTGTTCTTGGTGTTTTCTTTTGTTCATTCTTCCTCCTCAGGAGGAAGCAGACGCTCCTGTGCAGTTGCAGCAAAATAACAGCAAAAGCATTCAAAAGTTGTATGTTAATGAGACTAGCTTTCTATCTGAATCTGCAGATGTTGCCCCAGACGAGAACTCTTTCGTACAGCAACGTGAATTAGGTTCCATAAATGCTTCACAGTCTAGTGTGCCATTTGAAGGTTCTTATAAGAAAACTGACGAGGAAATTTTGATTTCTCAAAATTTGAGCTCGCCTATTCTATCATTGGTCGATCCTCTTTGTTCTGTTGTTCCTTGCAGTGTTTCTTCTGTGAATACCAATTCCCGACAAACTCACAGTGAAAATGACATTGATGTTAATGCCGAATGTGAGGTGGAGACTGTGCATAGTACTTCATGTTTAAAAGGTGAATCAGTCAATAGAGACAGGCAAGATGTGCCAAGAGTTACTGGTGATGTCCACGAAGCTCCTGTTCGAAGGCAGTTGACCTTACTTAAAACTTATAGCACAATCCCGCCCAAGGACGACACCGAGCTGCAGATGGGGAGTTTTTGCTATGATAGATTAGGCCAGTCAGAGTGTAGTGCAAAAATCATTTCCTTGGAACCAAATATGGGTGGCATTAGGCATCAAAATAATAAGTGTTCTGAAGGGTTCTTACCTTTCAAGTCTGCGTTTAAATGTACTGTTGATAGAGACAAGAGGGAAACTGAAAATACTGCTGTTATTAGTAAGAAATTCATAGAAACAACAAATCACAAGAAAAGATATGATGAACATGCAAAAGATGGGGCTGAGTTGCTATTACCTCCTTTGAAGGAAAGTATGCCACCTCGTATTTCAAATCAATGGACACGCCGTCAAATGTGTGCTTCCAAACTTGTTCATAATTGTGTTGAAAATACAAACCTTGAAGAGGCTGCAGTACAAGAAACCACTGGTAAGCTTCATAAGAGAAAAGATTTTCAAAATGAACAATCTGAGTTCAATAATTCCCTTGATAATCAAGGTCCAGCAAGGAAGCGAGTTCGCTTCTCAGATGTTGAAGTTGAGCCTCAGCAGATGAAAGATGTTCAGAATCTACTACCTTCACACAAAGTTCACTCAAATACTAGAGCTGGTAACAGGTCAAAGCACTCTAATGCATGGGTTGCTTCTCGATTCCAGCAAGTGTTTGCAAATGGCATCAAGGATGGGAAGAGATTGATATTCCAAGGTATGAAATTCTTACTTACTGGACTTCCAAGTCGCAAGGAAAAGGAAATTAAAGGACTAATTCCAGAATACGGGGGTATGGTTCTCTTGGATATACCTTCTCTAAATGCAAGGGGAAAGAGAAGTTTAAATTCTAATTTCCAGCAGCACCCCATTGTTTTATGCCATAAGAAGCTAAAAACCATCAAGTTCTTGTATGGATGTGCAGTGAATGCCTTCATCCTAAAAGTTAAATGGCTTACCGATTCAATTGCAGCTGGTTCAGTTTTACTACCAGAAAAATACATGATTCTTTCAGGCCAGGCTGATGTGGAGATATCAGGAATGGGAAAGGTAGTTTCTCATAATTTCTATAAGTTAATTTTTGACAGAGTAGGGATCATGCTCTATGGGAAGAACAGTTTCTGCACCAAATTTGCAATAATATTCAAGCATGGAGGTGGGCAGGTGTTTAAAACTCTCCAGTGGCTAGTCCAGAGTCTTGATAATAAAAAGATTTTTGTTGGAGCTATTGTGGCTGATGATGAAAGAAGGGCATCACGTCATTTGAGGCAAATTGTGTCCGAGAGGAATATACCTATGGTGTCATCTGGCTGGATCATAAGGAGCTTACATTCAGGGAAGCTCCTTCCTTTGACACAAAATAAGCATACTCCTTTGCCCATTGTAAAGGAACCAGAGGTTCCAATTTCCCTTGCATGGAGTGAAGAGATATGATATGTACTTTTAGCAGCGTATTAAGTCTTGGATTCTAAACATGCATTCTACATTGAATGTCATTCCTCCTCATTTACTAAGTCCGTATTAAATAGCAAAGCAGGGTCTGCAGTGAAACTTCAATTTGACATCATTCAATCAATGATTTGAATTTGAGGTTGACCATTTATCACTCAGGGCTGTTCTTTAACTTATTTTGCTGAAAGATGAACTTCCATTCTGGACTTCTGAGCAAGGATGACGTGGTTGTTGGTTGAGATGGTCTGGATTGTTGCCATGAAGTGAACTGAAATTGGTTGAAATTGATGGCTTCAATGGGCAAGATATCTCCCAGTTGCATCGCACTTGATCTCTGGTTTTTAAAGAAGCAACCAGACTGACAATTCTTCTCATTGAAGCCAATTTAGATGAGACTTTTATGATCGCCAGCTGTTGATGCCATCTGCTAGTTTGCTTATTCTCTTTGTCAAAAGAGCCACTAAACAAGAGCAACGAGTTCTGCTTGCAACAGCGTAAATAGGTCCAAGACTGCAACAAGGTAGAATTGATGAACAAGGGTGTGCCTATCGGGGTAAGAATAATTTCACATTCTCTTTCTTGGTGATTTAATTTACCCTTGTATATGTTATTTGACATTGTAATTATATATGTTTGCATATCAGTTTGGTGACATTCGCATCAAGGATTATTTTCTCACGCTTACGCCAAGTTAATCATTGTTTTTGGTAGGTCATTAGACAGATGATGTCACTAAGCTTACCATTAGAGTTAAAATCATAAACAAAACTTCTCATTTACACCTTTCAGGTTTTCACTTGTAGCACAACAGCCTTTTTAGATAAAATAAAATTCATTTGCCGTATGATCTCAACTTAATTGATGAAATCTCCTTCTGAATCCAAATCGACGATCTATTTCACTGCAACCAAACTACCATCAGAGAGTTATTTCTACACAACCCCATATGCTATCATATTTCTCAGAAAAAAGATATTCTTATTTTTGTTTTCAATGTGATTTGTGAAGCTTGGATAGAGTGTTAATTATTTATGGAAGAAAAGAATGATAATCTTAGTTGCATCACAGTTGTGGTACAGATGAACTATGGCTATGGCAATGGCAGTTTTGTGGCTGGGACAACAATTTTGAAATAATTAGGATTTTCAAATTTAAAGATGAAAATTATTGTTATAAATGGATGCATTGATGGATGACCAGTTTGCTGAATGTTCAATTGTTCATTTTATCATTCACTTTGTTTATTAAAATGTATGCCTTTAATAAGGAGCCCATAAATCATTAAACTTTAGGTATTAAAATTAATGGGTTTATACAATTTTGGCTCAAGGTTTGAGGAAAGAACCAACACACCCAAAGGTTTCAAAAAGTAACAAAATAATACTCTTTGGAGCCGTTTGGATTGGGTTAATATTAGATAACTGGGTAATATTTTTTAAATTGAGCAGATCACGATGTTTGTTTGGTTTATAAAAAATTACTCCCAAAATATTTTATGACAAACAATAGCATTTGAGGGGTAAATTTCCAATAATATCCTTGGGTGGGGGGGTGGGGGGGTTTATTGAAACTTACCTTGGTATTACAATTTTTTTCTCCATATTGCCCTTAAACAGTTGAGCATTTGGTCCCAATTAACTTTATATTTGTTAAAATTTACAAAACACTCAATTACTCATGCAGACACTTTTGTCCTTGCTTTTTAAATTTTTCGGACGACATTGCCCTTGTTATTATCATTATTTATAGAAATGTTTTTATACTCAGAACTAGCCATTGTCGATCGTCGTCGGAGGTTGCCAAAAGTCGTCATAATGGCGTATGATCGGTCGCATATGGCCGGTTGTGCGCCAATGAGGCTTTTTCTGACATGGATTACAGATCTATGGTCGAAAAAAGTCAAATCTAGCTGTTTCACGGCCAGATCTATGGCTATGTCAAGGCCAAGCATGTGGCTGTGAAACATCGATTGATCTGGCCATGAAACAACCAGGTCTTTGGCTGTGAAACGGCCAAATCTGTGGCACTGCCGGTGTCACGACCAGGTGTGTGGCACTGCTAGTGGTCGCCAGCAGTGGTGGCTGGCTGTCGGTAGTGGCTTGGGTGGGTAGGGGTGTTTTTGTTAAGTTTAAAACGTTTTTGGTTGCTAGAGTGTTTTTGCTAAATATGAAAAATAGAGAGTTAAAAGAATTATTCAAAAAATAATAATACAAAATACTATTATATTAATATTTAAAAAGAAGGGCAATTTAGTAATCTATATAACATACTCACCCATTTATCCTCTCAACTAAACATATTATTTACCAATTTATTCGAACAAACTAAACACATTTTCTAAACATTCTCAGTAATCTTTAAGGTGATATTTTATTTCGTTAATATAATATCCCCTTATAATAAAACATTATATGATCCAAACGTCCCTTTGGTCTAATTGTATACCCTTTCCATTTTTTTTATTTCTTCAATTTATATTTTGATTATATATATCTATATATTAATATTTATTAACCAATTTTATAAAATAAATAAGAAATATTGAATAGTTAAATTATTATTTAGTTTTGTAAAATAAACTAAAAATAAAAAAACATAATTTTAATTAAATTACATACTTTAAAAAAATGCATAAAATAAAACGGGAGAGGGACGTATAATAAGATAAAGGATACTAAAGTTTTTTCAAAACAAAGTTTTAAATTCTTTTTAGTTTTTATTCCTTAAATTTTTATATATTTAAAGTAAAAGTTAAAAAAAAAAAAAAAATTAGACAAAGGCTACTATACTATAGTCTTTATTGGTAAGTAATCAATTATTTGGGTGTATTTGTTACTTTCTAAAACCCTTGGATGCACTCATTGGTTTTTTTCAAACCTTGAGGAGGAAACTTTTTTTAAACCCTTAAATGGTATGGGAGCAGTTTAGTGAATAACCATTAGCTCGAATAAGTTTTAATGGTTCACTAAAATTTATTATTATAAAGAGAATTTTGTTATTTAAGAAATCTTAAAAGAATTTATGTTATTAAAATTAACCTTTGGGATTAATTTTTTGGGTTGTTTGTTATAGTCTTTTTTTTTTCTTTTTTTTTTATCAGGGGTGTCCGGACCAGTTTATGTGTACCTCAACTAATCCCCCAAGACCTTAAAACTACTAGTCGGATAAGAATTCTAATAGCTACTCATATTAGCACCTGAAGAGAGACTTGAAGTTAAAACTTTTGGAGTAATACATCAAAAAATCTCTATCAAACGACTTAACCACCATAGTTTGTTTTTTTTAATAAAGATAGGTTAATAAACAGTTCTCATAACTTTCTCTCATAAATGCGATGTGGTAGCTTGCAATTGATTAGCTCGCATTTGGTCAGACAGGACCTATTGTTGGAGAAACGAAACTCATTGCGAGCTAACACATCACGTTTGTAAGAGAAAGTGAGAAGAGTTTGTTAGTGTAGTATTACTTATTGTTTTTTATAGTCCATTCATTCAAAATATTTATTTGATCAAATATAATTTTGTACCTTATTGTAATCATTGTTTTAAAAACCGAACCGAAGGGCAAACCGCTCTAATGGCCGGGTCATGGTTCAACCGGTCCAACCGGTTGGACCGCCGGTTGAACCGATGGTTTGACAGGTTTAAAATCTAACAAAAACACCCCTAATAATTATCATCAGACCCTAAAGGTTTGAAATCTAGCAAACACAACCCTGGCTAAATGCAAATCGACTATCGATTGGGAGAGCAGCGGCGACACACCAGGGAGGGTAGATCAGATGATGGGGAGGGCGAATCGGCAGCTAGCAAGTAGAGGCATCGCATCGCCGGAAAATGGCAGATCGGTGGTAAAGTCACTGGTCGCGGTTGCTTTTTTTGGTGAGATGACTGAATCTTTGTGAACGACGACAAGGAAGCTTGGGAGAAGGTAGATCGGTGACTGAGGAAGCCTGTCGATGCCGGAGAAGGCCGATCAACATCGGGAAATGGAAGAAAAATCTCGCGGCGAAGGTAGACGACGAAACGTAATGCGGCTGCTGGAGATGAAGCGTGACAACGCCGGAGAAAGTCAGAACTCAGAAGGTGGTTTTCGACAGTAAGGGAAGGTGGAAGGTCGCTGGAAAAGGGGAGGTCATTGCTGATTTGCATTTGGCCAGAGGGTGTGTTTGCTAGATTTGAAACCTTCAAGGACTGTTGGTAATAATCAGGGGTGTGTTTGTTATATTTTAAACTTTAAATAGTTAAAAAGAGTGAACCGACCAGGAGAAGGCCTCGGGTTCCGGTCCAACCGGCCGGTCCAGTCCTGTTTTTAAAACAGAGATTGTAATACAATGAAGTATATATATTTATGAGTAATACTACACATACAACATTTCTCATACAACATGATGTAGCAAAATATAATTAGGTAAAAATTTATTTTTAATTTAAAATCAGTCAATCATCTTTTATCACATCATATTATATGAAAAATATTGTATGTGTAGTATTATTCTATGTTTATTCAGTGCATTAATTTTCGTTCAATGTAGGACCATTTTCTGCCCTTCGCAAACAATTGAATATGTGTGTTGGAACTCGGAAGCACATGTTTTCACATCTTTTTTTACCGGTTATTTAATACAAACAAGCTTTACAAATGAATACTTGTATTGTAATTTTTTTTTTCCCACTTGAGTCAACTAGATCCTGAGGTCACAATTTCACATTTCACATCGCCAAAGAATAATTTTTTTTTGGNGCAAAACGACCTCAATCTTAGAGGTCAAAACGAGCTCGACCTGAGAGATCATAACGAGCTCTACCTAAGAGCACAAGAGATCATCGATCTCAGCGTGTGATCAGTGATCTGAACACGCGATTTGAAGCTAAAGATCAGCGATCTGAAGCCGAGGATAAGGACGGCATGGGCGTGCGATCTACAATCTGGCCATGCGATCGGAGAACTCTGATGTGTGCGATCTGCGATCTGGCCACGCGATCGGAGAATTCTAACGCGTACGATCTATGATCTGGCCACGCGATCGATAACTCTGACGCGTGCAATCTGGCCACGCGATTGGAGAATTCTAACTTGTGCGATCTACGATCTGGCCATACGATTGGAGAATTCTGACGCAGGTTTGGGATCTGAGCATGCCATCAAGGAACTTGGATGCAGGTTTGAGAATCAGACCTGCATGGGCCACCAAACTGTTGACGCTTGATTTTGGACATCAACTACTTGCACGTGAGAAGCGCTAAGCGGACTTAGGAATCACACGTGATAGATTCATGAGATTTGAATATGGAGCTGATATTATATATGTGCAGAAAACATAAATAAAAGATTGGCAAGAGGGGTTTTTATAGTGGTTCGGATGCTCAACAAGCGACTCCTACTTCTACTGTTATTTTATCGATCTCTGACTATTTCTATGATATTGCCCATAAGGCATACAAAGATGAAGAAATACAGTGTTTACAGAGAAAGAATGAAATGAAGCTCAAATCTCAACTCAGCCTCCTTCTTCGGGAAGAGGAGTGCCCATTTATACACCTAAACACTCAATGTAATCAGTGTTTTGCAAGTTGCCTTGATAAATAGAAGGCTCTCATCCATTCATTTTTTTAAAATGAGATAAAATTGGTAAGGATATCTTTGAGGCAGATATGAGCTTGACAGGTAATACAAGAAGACATTAAATGAGTTGACATAAACGTGACTTTTGAGACATAACAATACAATAAAAGTATAACTATATACTCTAATAGAAATTATGATCTTTCTGATTATCCAATTATGAGATGCTTTTAAG